TCTCTCTCTCTCTGTCTCTCTCTGTCTGTCTCTCTCTGTCTCTGTCTCTCTCTCTCTCTGTCTCTGTCTCTCTCTGTCTCTGTCTCTCTCTCTGTCTCTCTGTCTCTGTCTCTGTCTCTCTGTCTCTGTCTGTCTCTCTCTGTCTCTCTCTCTCTCTCTGTCTCTCTCTGTCTCTGTCTCTGTCTCTGTCTCTGTCTCTCTCTGTCTCTCTCTCTGACTGCCAGTCCAAGCCCTGCTTTATGCAGGGCAAAACTGCAACACCGATAGCGACTCTCCTGAGCGTGTGAGCTGCGGTTGTGCCATGCAGGCTTTGTCTGCCCTGCATCAGGGGCCAAGCTCCTGCCAGTCCCCGGTGTCTGCGGGGACAGTCATGCGGCCCAGAGCGCCAGCTGATGGGAAGGCTGCCGCCAAGGAGCATGGGGGCGCGCAAGGCTGGGGCGCTGCTGGGCGGGCTGGGAGGCTGGCTGCCCTGCCCCTGGGGGAGAAGCTTGGGCCCACGCAGGTGCTAAGGCTGCGCGGGGAGCAGCAGCGCTGCTGGCCGGGGTCGCCCTGCTCTGCCTGGGAAGTGCCTGTCAGGCTCGCTGTGCAGCAGACCGTCAGGTTCTCTCTCGTCCTTAAACGCCTCCCAGGAGAGTTGGTGTCCGAGTTTTCCAGTTTCATCCCTGGGTCAGATCTGTAAAGAGAACATCTGTGAATAACTGCAGATACCTTTCCTATTGGGGGGCTTGAATCCTGGACCCCTGCTCTCCTTGTGCAGTCCTAGAGATGAGCTAGTACCCTGTGCCTCAGTTTCCCGGTCTGTACAGTGGAAAACTCAGCTCTGATTCAACAGGTCGAATGGGATGATGCATTTAAATACCAAAGCCTTTGCCAGATACATAATGAACAGCCCAAAACTGGAAGCTGCTTACTCTTTTCATTGTATTGCCCCTGGGCTTCGTGCCACTGGGCCTGCTCGAGTTCCTCTTTATTTCCTGTCTCCCTGCTTTTGGCCAGCATTTCCAAGGCGGTTCGGTGAGTGCCTTTGGATGTGGAACTCACTGGCCCGATCAGGGTGCGGGTCTTGGCTTGTGGCGCATCACCTCCTCTGTGCCGTGGCCACAGGGGAAGCCTCAGTCTGTGCCATGCTCGCTCTTGGAACAGACTGGTGCCGGAGGAAGCCAGCGCTGTACAGTGCGGTGATGGGAGGAGTCTGATGCCCTCAGTCATTAGCCTAGTGGGCTGCAGGTTACCATAGTAACAGCCCTGTTCTCTGGCCGTGTAGCATGTTCATTGGAAGGAAAGCAAATCAGGGCTGGAACCATTATGCTTGATGGAGACCTGAGAGGGCAACCGTGTTCGAATTTTGTGAGCACTCTGACAGATGAGTTAGGCAGTGGCTACTGACCTGCGACACTCACAGAGCTCTCTCTCTCTCTTTGGCATCCTGCATGGGCACCCAGTCTGTTTCCTATTCTGCACGTGCAGCCCAGCCCTGGCTCTGTGCTTGAGAGGTAGGCCTAGTCCCTGTCTGCAGGCAGCTTGCCTGTCTCCTCCTGGTTGGCAAGGAGGCTGAGGACGTAGCAGCAGGTAAGACTTGAGAGATGAATGGGAGCCCACTAGCAGAGGGAGAGAGGTGGGAAAGGGGGGACTCAGGTTCAGGCAGAGTATGCTGTGCATGCAAAAGTCCTGGGTGAGCTTGTGCTTCCTTTGGAAGCTTGGAACAAGACATTTTGGTCAAAGGCCTGAGAGGGAATAAGATACTGCCTTAAGGGAAGCAGGAGAGGGTGGCTCTGTGGTTAAGGCCATGTGAAAGGAGTTGTCTTAATTACTTTTCTCTCACTAATGGAACAAAACACCCAACACCCAAAATGAAGGAGGGAAATATTTATTTAGCTCATAGTTAGTGGAAGTTTCAGAGCAGCATATGGCAGAGGGCAGCAGTTCATGGTGGGGCAAACAGCAAAGAGCAAAGGGAGGAGCCGCAGCTGAGGCTGCTAGCAAGCCTCTCTCCCCTCCTTACATTTGTATTCAGATTATCTGCCCCAGGGCAGGTGTAGCACTCACACCCATAATCCCAACATTGGATCAAGAGTTATTCACAAACTCTAGAAGCCACCCCAAGACTGCATGAGGCTTTCGGGGGACAATTGGACACAAACCATAACAGGAGTGTCGTAAATATACTCCTTTGAAAGATCAGTTGTACTGCTATGCAGAAGATGGTCCCCCAGGGTAGGGCACAAAAGGGGCATCCATGTAAAGTCACCAAGGTGAGGAGTCCCAGTGACTTCGATGGAGGTAGAGACAGGGAGGAGGAAGTGGATGGATTGAGAGGCCTGGGTTTGCAGTGGTAGAGCTGGGCTACAGCCTGGCTGGAGGACTGTCAAGGGGATATCCCTGGCTTGAGGCCTGCTGCTGTTTTCCGAGGCCAAGAGGCCGATGGGAAGCTGCGTTTCCTTCACCAATGCCTAGGCATACACAGGACTCAGAGGTGGCAGAGGTGGCCTGAGGTGCCCAGTGTTCAAAATCAGCAAGGACAGAGCTGCCCGAGAGCCTGCACCGTGTAGACACATAGGACCCCAAGCCAGGGAGGCGGTGACACCATGCTGAAAATGGAGCCCTCTGTTGTCACGGAGGCAGGCACTGGCCCTTGTCAGGGGCCAGAGATTCATGTCAGTTTCTTAGAAATCTAGGCGGAGCCAGAACACATAGCATAATTCCCCCTTGGTGGTATTTGAGGGTTGTGTGCACGTGCAGTCTATTTGTGAAAACCAGAAAATATCAGCCTGGCAATTCTCGTTTTATGCCTTTGTCCATCACCGTCACTGTGGGCATGGGGATTGGAAGCTGCCAGGCAGGCACCAGGCTGTCTGGGATGGGTGAGGGGACACGACAGGACAGCCGGCCGTGTACGCCTCCACAGCTTCTGACCCCACTGTCCTCTCCCTGCAGGAAGCCCTGGAGTCCTGCCAGACGCGCATCTCCAAGCTGGAGCTCCACCAACAGGAGCAGCAGACGCTGCAGACAGACACCGTGAACGCCAAGGTGCTGCTGGGCAAGTGCATCAACGTGGTCCTGGCCTTCATGGCCGTGGTCCTGGTGTGCGTGTCCACCATTGCCAAGTTCGTCTCGCCCATGATGCGGAGCCGTTTCCACATCCTCGGCACCTTCTTTGCTGTGACTCTCCTTGCCATATTCTGTAAAAACTGGGACCATATTCTGTGTGCCATCGAAAGGATAATCATCCCAAGATGAAGCCGCTGCTTCCTGCCTTCACGTTCCCTTGGGTTTTGATTTCAAAAGAGAACTCTGTGCGTACTACCAAATGTCTCAGTGAGCCCGTTGCGCAGACCAGAGCTGCGTGGTGTAAATAGCTGCGGCGCTCCTAACCCAGTAGCAGCTGCCAGCTCAGTCCCATACTTGGCTAGTGTGAAGCCGATTCAGAGCTGTCCCCACTCTGCTCACTGCCTTAACCAGACCCGACCCCTGCCCTGTGAGCCCAGCACAGTAACCTCGTCTGCTGAGCACTGGACGGAGCTAGAGACCCAGAGGGAAAGGGCTCCTCCTCCCCGTTCCTTACACCTATCTCACTTGAGCTTCACCGCGGCCAGTGTTTGCCAGTGTTTGCGTTGCCCGAGTCCTTTAAACAGCAGGGGTGTGATGTGACTCAGGAGAGAAGCAGCACAGAGGAGCCCCAGCTTCCTCGGTGCTGTGGCAGTGACACTGCCTAGTCTCCATGGAGTCCACCCCACTGGTCACAGGTGCCACTGGTCTCGTCCTGTACCCAGTGTTCACAGTGGTCAGCTGTGTGTGGCTGCGTGATTTGTACATCTTCCAGTGTACCTTTTCTCCACAAGTCTGCGCTGAGGGTTTGGCTGTACACTGGGACTGAAGAGTGGGGCCTCTGCCTTCTTGTGACAGGGGCCCATGTCCCTGCCTTCACCCTTCCGGTTGCACATCCCCACCCCCCGCATTCCTCCCCAGGTGGCTTTGTTAATCAGATCCTGTGAACACTAGCTGCCCGAGGTTTGTGCTTTGACAAACCTTGACTGTGACAAAGCCTCTGTGGAGATGCCATTCACTTTGTGTCGTTCACTGTGAAGAACCGGAAATGGGAAGCGGCGCTGCGCATGGGGCAGGGCTTTGGCCTTGCAGGATCACAGAGTCGTAGTTTGTATAAACTGAGGTGGGGCTGCTGGAGGAAGACAGGCGCCTGGCTGCCTGGGTGTGTGAGATTAGCTGACCATTCACTGGGCAGAGGTGGAAAGGCTTCCTTCCACCTGTACAGGTCAGCAAGAATGAAATGGGTCAGGCCTGGGTCGGTGAGCGCAAGTCCCAAGGCTGCCATGGGGCAAGCATCAAGCATTGGTGTCTGCGGCCCATTTTGGGGGTGTCCCCCGACTCAGAGCCGTGCGTCACTCTCCTTCAAGTCGCGTTCTCTGTGTGCCACAGAAAGGAGGCCATCGGCCCCTCCTCCGGCCCCCACCACCGCCCACCAAAGGTGTAAAGATGCACCCAGGCATTTTCTTCCAGGAGATGTTGCAGCTCCTGGATTGAAATCAAGTGCAATATTTTGCAAACAGGTTTCTTAGGGAAATCTCTAGGGGAAACACAATGTGACAGTGTGTGCCGTGCTGTGAGAATGGAAGACTGGGGCCCTCCGGAGGAGCCCAGCCCATGTGAGTGAGGTGCGTGCAGCGCGAGCGGTTTCTAAATGTACAGTTCAGTAGTAGTAACCAATTCACAAACCCTTCAGACAGTACCCCTAATTCTAGACTTCGGCTTTTTAAAATAATAAATATCACATCATGAAGTCTGTGGTAAGAAAGTATTTTGGAACCAAGGACAAGGGGCCTGTTGCCCCTCCCCCACCACACAGCAGTGTCTCCCACCCCTGGAGACTCTCCTGTGACCCCCAAAGTTGACTGAACACACTGTGACCCTGAAACTCAGGCAGGTGGGGGTGTGGACCGAGCGGGGCAGAAAGCACACTGCGCTGTCTTTGTTTCAGATGTTAAAGGCCAGCATGCCCCTTACGTGTGGGCATTCAGCTCCATCACTTAGATGCCCAAACCAAACTGGAGTCTGGTGGAGACCTCGGAGGGACATTGTGGACACGCCTGTGCCTAGGCTGGGTGTTGATGTTGCCTGAGGGCTGGAGAGGGCGAGCAAGATTTCTAGCCTTTGCTGCTTAGCTGCAGAAGTCACGCTGCTGCACGCTCCGCATGCAGAGCCGCGGAGCCTCGCAGCCCTTTGATCGACAGTTGTTAGACCTGTGATCAGTCAGTCTTCTCCCCGAGAGCAAGTCAGGGAAAGAGGGGGAGCAGCACCCTCCACCCACTGCACTTGCAGAACCTACTAGAAAGCAGCTTCCTTCCAAAATCCCAGTCTAAACCCTAAGCCACCGACTGTAAAGTCCTCTTACTGTTGACTCATTACATGCAGATAACTTTGTTTCCACTTAGATGTGGTCTACCTACATGGCATATTTATTTTAGAGTCTTGTGGAAAGTTCATGAAGCTTTTAACCTTTTAATAAGATGATATGCTTCAAGGAGACTTTTACTCTGCAGTTCACTCTTCTCTTCTTAGGGACTATACCTCCTACGCTTGTTCTCTTCAATGCTGAAGATGAGATGGAATTTTATAAAGATGCAGTTAAAACCTAGGGATACAGCTGGGATATATCCTGGAATTGGATAGTTAATTTACCCCTAAGTCATCTTTTCCCCCCACCTTTTGTTTAAAAAAAATGCACATGGCTAAAGATGAAAACCATTTGGAGCGATACACACCTGGTTAGCTGGTGAATATTATTGAATGACTTCAGACACTAGCTCTGGATTTTCTGGTGACATTATTATCATGATTGGCAGATAGTGATAATGTGTTGAGGATTAAAAAGATTAAAAGAGGGGCCAGGGAGATGGCTCAGTAGATAAATGGCTTAAAACACTCCAGTGGGTTTTGTTCAGCTCATGTTTTCAGTATGATTGCACCAGAGCAGACTCCCGCCCCCCAAAAATTAAAAAACCCACAACGAAGCAGTGGCACTCGCGCTCCACACCGGCAGGCGTGGGGCAGCCAGACCCCTTCCTCGCCGTCCCTGGGACCTGCTGATAAGCTACATCTCCTGACCCTCTCGCCTTTCAGTCGCAGCCAGTGCCGCGCTCCCCTGTCAGTGAGCATTCCTGTGCCCAAGCTGTCCTTGTCACTCTTGTTCCCCTTAATTGTTGCCCTCTGTGTATTAATCACCCCGCCACTTCTCCAGCACATCAGGCTTAATTAAAGGTTCAGTAATGGGGAGGGAACAATTTCCCTTGGGCAACTAATTACTCATGTCCTTTTGGGTTGAGTTTTAAACACCAAATTATTTTGCACTGAATGGGAGCACTTTTGTATTAAAGCCAGTTACAGTTGTATTGGTTGGGAAAAACCACTGAAATATCCTTACTAGCACAGACTTGTGTGAAGAAGCAGCCTATTTTGCATGTTTCTTTAATTTTGAGGTATTATTTGGAATTTAAGGTTTATCCAGAAGAGAGCTGTTTCGAGAAGATTACACGTGACTAAGTAGAGAAAGGGTCAAAAGAGATACGTTACTGAAAAGAATGAGATTGGCCTATTTACCTCGAAAGCAGAGAGAAGCTAACAAAAAAATTTAAAAGTATGGTTGCCAGGAGCTTGGTAACCTATAAGGTGAAAAGCAGAACCAACCTACAATTTTCCAAAGTCAATATAATTCTCTGGCTATAAGGAGCAGGAAGTCATGCGCCTTGATTGTTTTAGGTATGGTAGCTGTTTTGCAGTTTTAATTTATTTAAAGCACCTCTGCTGTTTGTCCTAAGAAATGTTTCCACAGAATGGGCCGTGCATTGAAGACACATGTAGGCGAGAGCAGCTCGGGATGCAGGAGCTGCAGTGCCGGGTATGGCGTCCGTTGCCGAGTTTCTACTTCGTGAGATGCTATATAGTTCCATGTCAGCCTAAAATTGTAATTCCTCCATAGAGCTTCACCCTGTGGTGGTGTCATCAATGAATTCAAAGCAGGTGCCATTATTTTTTTAAATAAACACTTGATAATAGCTTTGGTGTTAAATAAAGAGTTAAATTTCTTAAAGTTTCACATTGGTCAGAACCTATCTCAGTAGTGTGTGTGTGTGCGTGCGTGTGAAGTCAGTTTTAATACTTTTTTTAATAGCAGTTTCAGGTTTACCACAAAACTGAACAGAGCTAAGAGCCTGCTGCCCCCCGCCCTTGTTAGCAGCATCACCCAGCAGCGCGCACGTCGACACGCTGCGCTGACACAGTGCGGTCTCTCAGCGCCCACAGTTCGCAGAGGTGATCATTTTGCAGCCTTGGATAAAGGCCTGAGAACCGGTAGCATCAGACAGCAGAGTCGCAGAGTTGCGCTGCCTGAAGAATCCTCTGTCTGTCCGTGCATCCATCCTCTGCTTCGTCTCGCATCGTCCCACCTTCTTATCCCTCCGCCCCCAGCACCTGCATATGCCGAGTGATCTTTTCCATTGGTTGCCAAGCTTGTGCAAACAAGTAAATGAAACTCAGATGGTGGGACTCTTGACTGCATCAGCCTGTTCTCTGCCCTGGAAAACAGCATATTGCAGTGTTTGGGAGCACGTAGGACACAACTGGTATTTTGACACTTGTCATTTAATGTCTAAAGATGTAAATACAGTAAATAGAGATGGAGTGAAATGTGAGGGTCTAGCCCAGCATATTTCCAGTCTTTCCATTTTGGGGAAGACTGTGTACCAAATCTATGTTTCCCTGAAGAAAAGAAACGGGGAAAAGCTTCATTAGTTGGTTTGTAACTGATGATGAAAGACAGTGTCAGAATAAATCGATACTGTCTGACTTTTGAGCAACACACACATTCTTAATAGAAAAGAAAATATTAGCTGAGGTAACCCCTAAAAATTTCCTAACATGACATAAATAATTTTAGAATAAAGCAATAATAAGCAATATAGAGTATTCTATAGTAGCTGTTCAGAGCTCAAAACCCTAACACAGCGAACTATTTGCAGCGCCACCCAGACAGACTTTCTAATTGTCACAACCATGAGACGCTGAGGTGTCAGGCATGTGGAGGGACTGTGGCAGTGGGCATTCACCCGAGTACACTGCATAGTGCTGTGCATTACGTGAAATACTGTGTGCAACCATCCCAGCACCCCATAGACAGGCACTGTGATCCCCATTAACAGATGGGGCCACCGCGGGTCCCAGGGGTGAACAGGCAGCATGATGCTCAGCTAACGGCGGATCTGTTCATTCAGCCCCAAGCTGTGTGCCCTGTGCCCACACCGCTACCCACTGCCTGCACTGTACTAGCCGGCACTGCAAGGTAGAACCCTGTCCCAGCGGGGCTCACTCCAAGGCCAAGGCAAGGCAGGGCTGTGGTCACGTGGCTACACACTGCACGCCTGTGCTGGGCTGGCCTTGCTGGGTGAGGGCAGAGATACCCAGAGCTGACACTCTGGAGCTCCAGACAGCCGTGGGCCAACAGACTGTGGAGGAAGAGAGCAGAAAGTTGTTCATTAGAGCAACTCTGTACGCCGTCCCTGGCTTCCTGCGATGCGTGGATATGTAACTGCCAGTTGGCTTCGCTGAGCATATCTGGGCCTTTTCCGCTTAGCCCTGAGACGCTGGCGTCCCTGGCAGCTCCTGCTCCGAGCTCCCTGACATCTGCTACCATCTGTGGTGCGCACCTCTGACGTCTCTCTCCCTGCCAAGGCAGGCTGAATGCATCCCCTGCCAGGCCTTTAACTCAGTTCAAGCAGTTACGGGGACAAGCGGCAGCCACACCAACAGCTGTTCTGCTGGTAGCTCAGGACTAGGCATTGGGAGTTGGGCTTTTCTGTTTCTGTTTCTTTTTTCTGTATCTTTTTTCCCCCTATTCTGCTTTAAAATAAGCATTGATATGAGAGAATAAAGTCATGCCTTGGTCAGAACTAGCAGTTAGGGATTCCTTTTGCTTCAGAAAACGGCCAAGACTGGCATCCTCTAATTCTTGAGTGGTCCCCATCATAGCAGTGATGCAAACCCAGCTTCCCACCCAGCTGCGTCCTGTCCAGAGGGCTTTTGCTTTCTCTCACATCACTGCTGCCCTAGCCGGGCCCTCCCTGTGGAGCTGAGGGACCACTCAGAACTATCAGACCAACCCCAACACTTGGTCGTATCTAAAAGTAAACCACCACAGCTGCCTTTGCCTTTCAGGGATGCCTTTGTTGGTGCTGGGTTAGCGTGAATCCTTTTGCCAGGTGTGGCCCCCTAACAATGGAAGAGAGGCGTTTCTGAACCACTGTGTGACACCTGGGGCAGGGGGCAAGTGGTGAGGATGCAGGTCATGCCGTTCACAGCAGGTGGCTTGACCCAGGGTTGTGCTGGGTGTGGCGGGGTCAGAAGGACACAGACTGCCCTGGGCGGGCCAGGGCGTGGAGGCCACATGTCCAGGGTGGCAGCAGCAGCCTAAGCTTATTTGCATGCTATTATCCTTGTCCCAGAGGAGCAGGAACCCCAGGCAGGCAGGTGCTTCCGTCTTCAATGCCGGGTAACCGTGGTAGCCTCTCAGCTGCTCAGTGTGACCTAGAAATGCCCCCAAGGGAGCTGGGTGCTAAACTATGTCCCCGGCACTGGCTGAGAAGTTAACTGGGAAAAGCAGAAATGCCAGGAGCTTCACATCTGGAGGGACATTGCTCCTCCTCCTTTCCCCCTCACCACTTGGGTTTTGGGGTGTTTGATTGGTTTGGGGTATTTTTAGAGACAGGGTCTCAGGGTCTCACCATGTATCTCAGGCTGGCTCTAAACTAACAATGATCCTCCTGCCTCAGTCTCTCGAGTGCAGGGTTCTAAGTGTGTGCCACCATGCCTGGCTTGGTTTGAGAAGGTGTTTTGAGATGGGGTCTCTCTCTGTGGCCCAGGCTGGCTTCAAGCTTACTGTGATCCTCTCACCTCAGCCTCCCAAATGCTGGGATTATCAGGGAGCACCAAGCAGTCCCCAGTGATCCGTTGGCATATCCAGTGCTACCAGGGCGTCTGCACCTTTACTAGTTTGTGAAAGATCGGCAGTGCTGTTTGTAGCCCGGACGCACGGTGGACTCGGGTTCATAAGACTTCTTTGTGGCATTAGAGCTCCTTTCAGTTTGGCATGCAAGAGAATAGAATTCAGTGAAGTCTTTCTGGTCTCAAAGAGTTTGCTCCCAGGAGCTCTTCTTACACCCTCTCGGGTTCACTGATAACTCTCCAGGCTTCCTTGGTCGCTTAATCTCATTTCACCTCCTTTGCATACACCCCTTATGATTCAGCCATCATCTGTACGGCAAATGCTGCCTCTCTCCACTGTGAGTACCTGCTGCTCTGAAAGCCCGGCCCGAAAGCCCAGTACTTTACTCTTCCTCTCTGCATGGATATCTTCGGAGTGCCCCAGTGGGTAGCACTGAGCTCATTTTTCTGTTCCTGCTACCAGGCTTCTGTCTCTTCCACAGAATCTCCTCCTCCATGTGCTCTTCCCCCAGATTAGCACCCGCAGGCCGTTCATCCTGTTCCTCTCTGCATCAGTCCTATCAAGTCTCTTACTCAAATGAACCCCATTTGCCCACTGCACTGCACCCTACCTGCTGCACCTTGATCAGGGCACTTTATTTCCCCCAGGGACAGTTCTACTGGTCACCTACACTGTCCCCTGGCCCCCAGTTTTGTCCCTACCCTATCCATTCCCCCAGGGTTCTGCCCATGTGGCCTTTCTAAATGCAAATCCAATCACATTGCTCCCCTTCCTGAGCCCTCCCCTGCCCCCCAGAGTTAGTGCAGCCCACAAGGGCCTCGGGATACTAGGCCCAACCCAGTGTGCCCTGCATCCCTGCCCCAAGCCACTCACTCCCCTCTGTGTGGACCTTTGTTGCTCTTTCCTGCCCTGCGGGATAGGCAAGAGCTTCCTTCTGCCTGTAGCCTCCTTTCTCTTCCTGCAAGACCCTCTCAGAGGAGGGCTCTTTTCAGCCCTGGCGTCCCTCCGCTTCCAGCTCCCCTTCTGGTCAGGAATGAGTGCATGGTGCCTTTGCCCTAGTGACTGGGGAGTGTTTGTTCAATGTCTGCTCACGGTACACAGTAAACTCCTCCTGGCCAGGGCCATAACTTACTCACCTGGCTTTCCCAGGATGCCACCAAATGTGGGCACGTAGATGGCATTCAATACATACAATGAGGAAAGCAGCCATATACTGTGAGGAGGAAATCTCTCTCCGTGGAGCTATTTTCCCTCCCACTAGATCGTGTGTGAGCATTTGGTGGGCAGGGACCGCATCTTTCCCGTCTTTCTCTGCTGTATCTGGGCAGCTGGTGCTCAGGAGATGCTACTGGACATGAGCTGTGTTCTCTGGCACCTTGGACCAGACACCCCTCCTGGTGCAGAGGGATAAAGGCTTCTAGAGCTCTGCCCATCCTGTTGTCCTGCATGCCGAACTGGAAGGAATCGGAATGCCAAGGAGCAGGTCTTACAGATCTGGAGTCCACCATCCACTCTGGCTAAAAGCAGAGGCACTGCTTATGCTGGCCCAGACTGGCTTTAGGCACTTTGTAGTTTTGCTTCCGGGCTCTGGGGTCTGAACCCAGGGCCTTCACCTGAGCTACATCTCAGCCCTTTATTTTGAGACAAGGTCATGCTAAGTTGCCAAGTTGCCCACACTGGCTTTGAAGTCCTGCCTCAGCCTCTGAGAATGCTGGGATTACAGGTGTGTATCACCATGCCTGGCTCACTTTTTAACTTTTATTGTGTTTTTAATTGGCATGTGATAATTGTACACATTTATAATATATAATGTGTCAACACATGGATACATGGTGTGATGATCAAATCAGGAAAATTAGCATGCCCATCTCCTCAAACATCTGTCATCTCTTTGTGGTGTGGGCAAAGTCCTGTCTTGTAGCTCTTGAGAAATGTACAGTACACACTTGCTATCTGTAGTCACCCTGCTACTTTCCACTTTTATCATAATGATGACTGCATTTCTGGAATCAAAATACAGAGACGCAATTTATGAAGAACTTTATACCTCTAAAGAGAAACAGTTCCTGCTTGTGGAGCACATTGCTCGGCAGGCCCCGGCCCGGGGAGCTTT